CCTCACAAATGTAAGTATTTCCCCTGTAAATACATGAGTCTGATTAATACCCATTCATGTACTTTCCAATGATACAGGCTTGTTATTGAGCCTATGTAAGTCAGGTTTGTGCTAAGGGTTGAGGTTCATACATATAGACAATTTTATAGATTAGACTTCACTGTCACTGTGCAAAGCACAGTAAATTATAGCATCCTCCTTATGATCACAATAGTGCAGAAGACAGTGGAGAGTTGACACAATGTAAACGACTTCTTAAAGGAGATAAATGAACTTTTCCACGACATTCTAATTTATTGAGATGCACCTGTAGTATGCCCCTTTTTACAATATGTAATTTAAGTCTCAGGTGTCCCTAGAATGTGTCTGTGAAGTTTCAGCTCAAAATACCCCACAGATATTTTATCATACCATTTTGAAAGGCCTATTTTGAGTGGAAGCAGAAACACGCTGTTTTTGTGCATGTCTCTTTAAATGCAAATTAAATGCTACTCCCCGCCCCCTTTTCCAGAATAGGGCTGTGCCTTTACAGTTCCTATCTCAGATATTCAGACATGATAATCAAAACCAAACAGATGTTTTTTGTCAACTGCACTGCAGCATGTGAATACTAAACTAAGCTCTCTTTCATGTCTTATTGTGCTTAATCTGTCAAATACACACAACACCGCCGTCGTTTGCGAAAACACAATGGCGGTGCAGTGGTTGGAAGCTTACAGATAAAGGGGCAGTGATATTATAATAAAATCCCTTTACCACGTCACAGGGGAGCGAAATCTGAGCAGCTTGTTTCTTCACAAGCTTGCAGAGTAAAGGTCCTTGCACACCGAGTCCGAAGTTTTTTCGTATTCGTCATCCTAAAGATACGTCACGGACCGAAACCTTGCACACTGAGTCCGATGTACAGCAGCTCTGAATTGTCAAAATACCACTCAAAATGCTTGCTACGGATGCGAAAAATGCAGAAAATCGAACTGATCCGAATTTTTATATGACAGACAAAATTTTCAGAGGCAGTGTGTAAACTTGATTGACACAACGTGAGGTCGTATTTATTTTTCAACGTGCAAAAATTTTGGACGAAAAATTTGGACTCGTATTATGTTCTAACTATGAAATATTTTTTCAAATATGTTTTTATTACATGAAATAGCTTCAATTATACAAATCAAAAACATTTTTGGGGGGGTATTTAGGAAAACAGTGGCAACAGTGTGTGACCACAATGGAAAATGGCAAAAAATTACTTTTTCTATTAAATTATGAATTTTTTTTTCAATTGAAATGCACATTTATTTTAAAAATTGATGCATCCATTCTTAATTTCCATCAAAATATGCCATACACATATGGAAGAGCCAATTCTGCACTCTTCCTATTGCCCTTTCCGTGAAATGTTGCTGAATTCATTTTCTGAAAAGAATAAATAATTTTCTTATTCATACATAAATAATACAAACTATACTACAATAAACACTTCAAAGAAACAAATAACTGCAATCATATTATTGAAGTTACTATCTATAAAAAACAGCGTTGCCATGTGCCAACATCGAAATTTTCTCAATTTACAGTAAAACTATATTAGACAATGTTGATTTGTGAATAGAAATATGCAATTTACTAACCAAAGAAGATGCAAAAAAAATCCCCCTTGAGAAGAGATGTTCAGAAAGGTCTGCCCTTTTAATTACCATATTAAATATATTTACAACATATATACAATATATTGTATTTTTTTTTCCAGAATAACAAGGAAATAAGTAGAAATTAATAGCATGCAAGAGCATGATTTCAGGTTAATAATTATTTAAAAAAATAAAATAAATGCAAATGGATTGAACATGTAATATGAACATAATATGCCCTTAGTAGGCATGGTTAAGTATAAAACATGTTATACTTCGCCTTTGTCTTATACCGTGCATTATTTAAATAATCTGTTAGTCCTATGATAACACTATGAGAGTCCTATTATTAATGCAATCAATGTATTTATTTGTTGTGTAATCATTATGCATGGATTTATTCTCCTGTTTATTGTGAACGCTGCAAGCTATTGAATGGCATGTAATGTACATCACTCCTTCACAGAAAAGCAGAAGGAAAAAAAGAGAAATGATCAGAGTGCCGGTGACTCAGGAATGCGAGACAGGAATGCTGTTGAGTTACCATAAAGGGGGTTTGACTGAACACAATGTCTTTGTGTTTTGGTTCAGGGCTCTAGTCACGCAAACCTGCAGCAGCTCCTCTGCGCTCGCCTGTAATTGACAGCGTTGCGTGCGGCTCAGGTACCGCTGGCTTGAGCTGGACTCCTGCCAGAAGAGCTGCTGCTATTAAAGGGGTCATATGACGTTGCTAAAAAGAACATTATGTTGTGTATTTGGTGTAATGCAATGTGTTTATGCGGTTTAAGGTTAAAAAAACACATTATTTTCCACATACTGTACATTATTGTTTCTCCTCTATGCCCCGGCTTTCTGAAACGTGTCGATTTTTACAAAGCTCATCGATCTGAAAAGCGAGGTGTGCTGTGATTGGCCAGCTATCCAGTGCGTTGTGATTGGCCGAATACCTCAAGCGTGTGACGGAAATGTTACGCCCCTTACCATACTGTGATGCCCGGAGTGATGAGACAAAATCAATAAAAGCCATTATAAACGAGGCATTCGTTGCATCCAGTGGGGACATAATTACTGATTATAATGAGTTATACTGTCTTTTTACGCGTTGCATATCGCGCCACGTAAACATAAAACCATGTCTGCATTTGTGATCGGAGAAATGACAAACAACAAGCGCTACTCTACACTGCTCAAAACTGGCGTTTGAATCGTCAGTGGCAAATCCTTTAAATATAAATATGTACTTACAGGCTGTGAGTCAGAAGCGCCAGACTGTCCTTGCAAAGTTGGAATTGCCCCACTTTGCCCCAACAGACACCGGCATTGTAGTCTACTCTCCCAGGACCAGGAAACAGTCCTCCATAAAATGTGCTGCACACATCTGAATATTTGGGTTGAAGTGTTCTGGAACAGTGTTGTAAATACAGCTTAACCACTGATTTCTAGTCGTGTCCTCTTTTGGAAGACCAAACAAAGTAGTTTCGCGTTCACAACGAATCACACAGCGTCTTCACGACATGGCGGCAGCAACAATACTACAGCGAGAATAAAAGTTACGCCTTCTTTCTTTGCGTGAACATTTGGGCGGCGTTATGCAAATCTTCCCACATAGTGAGGTAGACATGTGGGGGCGTGTTAGAACGAGCCGTTTTAGGTAGGTGTGGCTGACTCTTAACTTTTATAAAGAATATCTCTTTGGATTTGAGACTTTAGTCTTTGCAACTTTACAGATCTTCTTTATGCACCAAGAGCTTGTAACACTCCAAAGAGAAAGGAACAATTGAAATCGCATCATATGACCCCTTTAAAGCGAGTGGTGGATCAGGAACGAATTCACATTGAACTGGCTCCACTGCATCACTTCTAGATATTTAGCCTACGTCCGACGCAACTTACATTACAACTATGGGGACAGTGACTCTGCAATCATCTCAGCTTACTTGTTCATGGATAAAACTTGCTGGGGTTTCAACTAGTGATGGACTGATATTGCATTTAATAATTTACGTTTTTGGGATCATTAGCATTGTCTGATAACTGCCTTATTTGGCCACCTAACAGATAATGCAATTTAGCGTAGTGCTCTAAACCAGTGGTTCCCAACACCGGTCCTTGAGGCACCCCAACACTGCACGTTTTGCACGTCTCCTTAATCAAACACACCTGATTCAGGTGAATTCAGCTCATTAGTAGAGACTCCAAGACCTGAGATTGGTGTGTCAGAGAAAGTAGACATGCAAAATGTGCAGTGTTGGGGTGCCTCAAGGACCAGGGTTGGGAACCGCTGCTCTAAACTGTGCAGTTTTGTCAATAAATAATGCACATCTTCAATATCAATTATTTTTAGCGAATTTTAAGTAGGCACTATTAATAGTAGTGATTTTCATAACCGACTGATCCTTCCTCCCAAATCCACTCCTCGGTTTAGCGGTTGGTTGTAGAGGTGGGAATTGAAAGCATGTCTGGAGCTGACGGAAGAGCATTAATGAAACCATGATTCACTCTTTTGTGTGGTGTGATGACTGCAGATCTTATCTGACTCACGCTCCGCTGCTCACACGCGATGCTGTCATTAACACACTCTCCAAAAACAACACATGCATCCGAGAAGATGCTCAAACAGACGCCTATTCACAATTCATCACAACAGGTTCACATCTATATTGGACACGCAAGACTGTTTTTATCCTGGCATGCATTAAACTCATACACAATACAGTCTTGAGTTGTGATGTGTGAACGGGTGTGTCAAAGTTACACAAGTCTGTTGTGATTGGCAGTGAATAAAAAAAATATGCCATGTCCTAATAACAAATGCCCAACTCTGCTTCCCAGTGCAGCATGAAGCTAAATGGACATTCGTACTGAAATTTTGAATATAATCTGCCACAGCTGTAGGCATTCAGAATAACAGCACAGTTGCTTGTGTGATATCGCTGGTGATTAAGCGCTACAAAACAAATGTGCCACTTTTAGGTGTTTTAACTGCTATGCACTTACCTCAATAATTATAATAAGGCAAGGTGAGGCAAGTTTATTATATAGCACAGAGGTAATTCAAAGTGCTTTCCAAAAAAAGAGATTTCATAAGAAATATAAAAACTAGTACAATATAGATGTAATAACAGAAAAATTATTACAGATGTGATTTCATGCGGTTACGTAGAAGATAAAAAGACGAATGTGTACACGTGCATTGTATCAAACTATTAATTTAAATGTTATTTCATAGTAGATGCCATGTAAACTAATAGAGACAAGCAGACTCCATTTCCCACAGTGCAGTGAGGTGGGTGTGTGTCATGGGGTGTTTGTGTGCGTGAGAGTGAAGAGCTGCTCTTACACTGCAGTCTAAGCCAGTGTGTGTGTGTGTGTGTGTGTGTGTGTGTGTGTGTGTGTGTGACGGCTTCACTCGAGGAGACTCTCTGGATGTGTTTGGACGCTAAAGGCTCAGATGTGAGCAGGTCATGCGCGAGACTGGGTTTCAGTCCTATGTCTTCTGGAGTAACATAACTTGTGTGGAATAAACTCGCTTCCAGGACTGACAGAAGAAACAGCAGGAACCAATGCTCCGGTAAAGTGACCCTTCACTCACTGTATTCTCATGTAAGGACAGTGGAGATACTTTATTACAGTTCTCTTCTGTAACAGCAGACGTGATCTCGTAGAACACATTCGTTACAAGTACCTTAATATTCCATTCATTGATATAGATTCACATTTGGATGCATATGTGGTTTGTTGACCATCTCTATAATGCTTATAATGAGTTATCAATCAAAGTAATTATAAGGTGTTGGGAAGTCGTTTTAGGTGTGCACTTCATCTGTTTGCCTGTTATTCTGATTCTAATTATATATATATATATATATAAATGAAAATGTAATTTATGTACTGTGGTAAAATAACAGTATTTCAAGCACGTTACACTGACACTGATGGCTCTCATGGTACTGATCCTGAAGTTAATCATCTCATAGCCCTCGTAATTGAAACAGATATTATTCGTCTCATTTTGTTGGCACAGAATCAGCTCTGGTAGGGTATATAACCCTTCACTGACGCTTCTGCGGGGTAAAAGTCGTCTCCTCTAGATGACATGCAGCATCTTCCCGCTCGTGATTTTCTCGTGTCTCTGTTACGTTCAGCGCGAGCGTGTTTCTGAGGTGTGTTTAGACGGTGGACGTGTTTTAGAGCAGCTCTATTGTTGGGCTCTGGACAGAGATCCACTGTACCCAGAGTCCCCCCCCCCCAGCGTCCCCCTCTCTCCAGCACATCCTCCACAAACAAGCCCTTCTTTCTCCTCTGGAGAGGGACCCTATGTCCCACAGCAAGTGACTCTCAGGGCCGGCATTGACGGCGGGACGCTCCCTGCACAAAAGAGGCTGAAGTGTCAATAAAGTTGTTCCCGATGCACAGGAATGCCGTCCGGAGAGGGACAAAGAAACACTTTGTGTCAGCCGGGGGCCCTTGACTAAACCCCAGGGTCTCCTCTTCCTCCTCCTGTTATCTTAAACGAGCAGCGGGAAGCACATGTTCGTGTTGTGCTCAGAAGAAGCAACTCTTCTCGCAAACTAGCTACTCGAGTGAACCGAGGAGTGTTGGGTTTTGGGCTCGTTTCCTCAGTTGACCCTTGAACAGGGTTGTTAATTTGACCCTTTGGTCACCCGGTGCCGCTGAATGTCTGGCTGTGCTCTTGCCGTTAACAGGGCTGAGGAGGTGTGTGTGTGCGCCAGTAGCGCTGCAGGTGTTTGCTGCGCTGTCATCCAACACATCTGTGGTAAACCACAAGAGAAACGTACATGCACCGCCAGACAGGACTGCAGTCTGTGTGTGCGCATCTGTCAGGAAAGCCATAAACTGTTATGTTCAGTTAAAATGACCACACTTTTACTTTAAAAACCACTAGTTACCTTACAATGTGCGTGCCTTAAAAACCAGGTGTTATTTAGGCAGCATAATGTAGGGCTGTCAAATTAAAACGTGGTTATGAAAAAAATAACGCATTAAAATTTATTAACGCATTTAAAGCAGCCAGACCTACTTAGTAGTGATGGGAGAAACTAACCTTTTCGAAGCTTCGAATCAATTGAACCAAATGCTTCGCAAAAACGATTCACTGTTTCGAAGCGCTCGAAACACCGCACGCTAGTGACGCCTGCTGGTCAAAAGTGTGTAAATGCAACAAAAATCCAGGCTAAAACATGCATAAAAAAACGTAAATAAAACAAATGTTATATTGAAAGTATAATACATGAAATGCAATAAAAATAATAAAACTCAATTAAATATAGTTAGTTTTTAAAAAAATATTTTATATTAATTTGCAGGGCTTTATGGACAGCTTCTACATAGAAGCCAGTAAGAGACTATTAACTACTTCTCATCCTTTTAATTACACGAATGTCTCGTTAGAAATGTCTACAAGTTGATTAAACTGATCTGAGATCAGGTAAAAAGCATAGACGCTGGTTCAGTGGTTCGCCACTGGGGGGCGATCTCGATGAACTCGCATGATTCACGGGTTCGCAGAGATCGCCCTCCCCCCAGCGGCGAACCATTGAAATTTAGAAACCGTTATGACGTAACTGAAATCACGTGACTTTGGCAGTTTGATACGTGCTCCGAACCACTGTTTCGAAACAAACGATTCACAATAGTTTCGAAGCTGTGTGCTTCGAAAGCGCCATCACTACTTCTTAGGTCAACTTACATTTCATACATTTTGATTGGTGACACAATATTGTCTGTTTTTGCTCAATTTGCCCCAATGAAAATTGTGCATCTTCGAAGCAACGCAGCAGTGATTCGTTTCTGAGTTAATTGACATTTTGAAGGAATCAGGTGAACCAATGATTCAGTCACCCGTTCATAAAGAGAGCCTTTTACTTCATTCCTGAATGAGTCCGCCGTTTGAACAAATCCAATGAATGAATGACTTTTACTGCCACCGAATGCCAGTTTGAGGATCTTATTCAGAGAATCATTTAATAAAAAAAATGCAAGGCATAAGAGCCTGTGTTATACTTTCCGCACGTACAATCTGGACGTGGACGCGGACAACTTGCAATTCTACTACCGTGGACGTGTTCCATACATGCGTAGTAGATCGGCTTGAACAATAAACAAACATGTGAACAAAGCCAGATGTGCAATAACTCTGGTCAATTCTGTCTTTATATTGTTTTATCGACGAATTGTACAGGTTCGAGTAGCAACGGGCTTCTTCACACAGCCTGCGCATGCGCAGTAGCTAACTGAAATGGGAGGCACGCGGATGTCCACTCAGAGCCTCCGCGCACACTCTACGATGACGATTTTTACGTCACTCGCACCATAGCATTATCGACGGATTGTACAGGTTCGAGTAGCAACGGGCTTCTTCACACAGCCTGCGCATGCGCAGTAGCTAACTGACGCGCGGTCACAAAAAATGGGAGGCACGCGGATGTCCGCTCAGAGCCTCCGCGCACACTCTCCGATGACGATTTTTACGTCACGCGCACCATAGCGGACACTAGCGGACTAGCGCACGCGGAAAGTATAACACAGGCTTAATTCTGTGTGGAATATAGTAAAATATTTTGTTCGAAGCTACTATTTGTAATAGCCTATTTGATGTGTTTCTCATTTAAATCAATAATGGCTTTAAATGATCTTTTTAGGGTAATTTCTCCGCCAAACTAGATCAATTTAGTAAATTTAGATTAATTAGAGTAATTAATTGCCAGATTGTGCAATTAGTTAGAATACAAATTTTAATCGCTTGACAGCCTTACTATATATATTGAAAATGTAATTAGCTCGATTAGCAACATTCTCTTCAAACCGTTCCTTCGTGACCGTAGAAAGAGGAAACTGACTATAAAAAAATTGACCACTTTCAGTGCAGCAGCGCATGATTGTGTTGATGCATTTTAAAAATGTAAAGCAACCAAGATGGCAGTGGCTAGTTACTAACAACTACATTTCTGTTTTTTAAAAAAACATTTATTTAGTGTTTAGGTAGGGATGTAACGATATTATCAATATCGCGATAGCAAAATTGTCTCGATATTATCGTGGTCACATGACGATATGAAACGATAGGTTTGTAGTTTTTAAAATACATTTGTTTTGGGCCGTTCTGCTTTGGCACAGTATCTGTCGAACGAAATCAAACCGAAAGCACAAGATGGCTTAATCCCTTCATTAAGCATGATTACGCTGCGTGTTTCAAAGCGACGCGCGCACTTCGTTCATTCGATCGGCTCGTGAGCCGGTGTTTTCCGCGCCGCAGAACGGCTCCGTTCACTGTGAATGAATGCAGGGAACTCGTTTATTGCACGTGCTGCTGTGAGTTTAGCGCACGTTTGGGAACGCAACAGCCACCAGGCTTTATTTTCGCGGCAGATGATTACAGCATTTCACTAGATTTGTAGTGAGTCGCGTTTTTGTAAGACGGTTTTCACTGAAGCTGGAGATTTCTTTCGGAATAAAAGCTCTACTGCAGTTTCCGTCAAAATAAAAGCGTTAAAGTGCAGTACGAATTGCTGACAGCTAGCGGTTTAAATGCAGTCCAAATTCTAAATATCTCTTTCAAGTGTAGAAATTAGGAAATAAGTATTGTAATGTCCCTACTGTAGTGTAAATATACCAATGAAATATTCATTTTCATTTATTTTACAGTGCAATTGTTTTACAACATATGGCTGTTGCTGTCATTGTTACTATTATTATTATTATTATATTCTAATTAGTTTGGCTTCCTAAAACCCCAAGTGTGAATGTAATTTAGTCTGAGACAGTGTATCACAAATAAAAAGAGGGTCGAGGCCCCTTTAAAGTTCAGGTACAAGTCTTTTTTCTGACTTAAGTTTTCTTAGTTAAGAACATGGGTTGGAGCTCTAAATTTTGAACTCTCAAGGTGCATTCGATAGAATAATTTGTACTTTAAAAACGATACATTTTCATTTTATAAAACGGGGAGTTCCGGTGCTTGATTCTGATTGGCTGAGCCGCGTTCGAAGCTGTTGTAAATTACTCTACAAACACACACCTTTGTTTACGTTTGTCTTTGTAGCAACTACAACTGTTTCTGAGGAGCTACATTGTTTGGTGGAAGAATACTGTTTTTATTAATATCATTACTCTTTATTTGCTCGGTTTTATTTTGTGAAACCTAACTACGTATATGTGAATAACTGTTTTATAAAAGCAAGCTGTGAAGCCGTGGTTTACGGTGAAATTCACGTCGTGCCTAACAACGCCCCTCAGCTGTTACAAAATCACTGTAAACCACGGCTTCACTGGGCTTATTGCTTTATTTAAAAAGACATAAGAAGAATTGGGAAAATATCGCAATAATATCGTATTGTAACGATATCAAAATCTCACATCTCTATGTTTAGGCGTAAGATATATTTAGGTGTTTTATGCCTTTATTAAGATAGGATAGTGTAGAGCTGAGAGGAAGTGACCCTGGAGCACAAAACCAGTCATAAGGGTCAATTTTTTTAAATTGAGATTTATACACCATAAATAAGCTCTCCATTGATGTATGGTTTGTTAGGATCGGACAATATTTGAAAATCT